TCGTCAGCATCTTCATATCCGGTCACATGGGCGGCAAGCCACTCCCATCCAGTCACATGGGCAGCAAGCCACTCCCACAAAGGAGGCCACACCCAGTCGGTTCGAGCAATTTTTGAAACCCACCACTGAATTAGTTCCACAGGTAGGCATCAATGCATTTTTTTCTTTCCCACTATAATTATTTTTATACATAACTCAAGGCAGTACCTTAATACTAATTTAAAACTAATACAATCTCACATTATTATGGTGGGACACATATATTTGCCTTCATACCTAAGACTCCTTCCTCCTCCTATTTTCCCTATAACAAACACCTTATGAGGTGAGTTGGGCTGAGAGGGGAGACTGGCCCAAAGACACCCAGCTGGGCTTTTATGCCTAAGGTAGGACTCGAACTCATGGTCTCCTGCTTTCTAGATCAACACCTTAACCACTAACCCCAAACTGATTCTTACAACCTTCTGGGCAAGAAAAAGGCAAAAAGGTGGATTCATCTTTGGTTCTTTTTCATTGGAATTTTCTCCAACTCTCCTTCCTGAATGCCTGCAAGGCAAGAAACCTCTGGTTGCAGATGGGAGGGAAAATGGGATGCCTTGTCTAGCTGCGGAAATTTGTCAGGATGGATGCACACAACCAGTGGTGGGATTCAAATAATTTAACAACTGGTTCTCTTTGATTTCTTCCAACTACCAGTTCACCAAACTGCTCAGAAAGTTAACAACCGGTTCTCAAATGGTGCGAACTGGCTGAATCCCATTACTGCACATGTCCCTCTTTTTTAAAACACTTTTTCTAAATGAATTGTTCCATGAAACAGCTTCCTCCCCGGTGTGAATTGGCAGGCTAGTTAGTCCACCTTTTCTACATGAACCTATGAAGGTTTCCCTTGGATAACTTTCCAACTTCTGGTAACTCAGCAGCAAATAAGTCTATTTTACACTGAGAATAGCAGCTGTGTGTGGTTAATTGGTCCCTAAGTAGACCTAGTTTCACTGAGGCTTATTGTTGCCATGTATCTGACAGATGAACATGCACATTACAGAAATAGATTACGCTTGTTCAGCATTCTTAAACTTTTTGATGGCAGAATTCCTTTCACTTTTAAAAATTAGAGGGGAGCTGCAAAAGAGCTTATTTGTATGAAATATATTTATCAATATATAAAGTTGATTCACTTGTAAAATAGTGAATTGTGCAAAATATATTAAACTCATTATATATATATATATATAATGAAAAAAAACTATTGCTTAAAAATAATGAGAAGAGTGGATTGTTTTAAATTTTTGCAAATACCTTTTGTCAGATATTAATTGGGGAATAATTTTGATTTCAGAGAGCCTTGAGACGGTCTTGGGGAATCACCAGGAACACACTAAAACTGCTGCTGCACAGTAGCCGAAACCCTGGTTCACACATCCTGCTAATTTGTACTGACCTTGGTTTTCATGAAATGTTCTGCTAGTCCTTTTGAAACAATTGAATTATGAAACTACTATGCCATTATGATGTTACCAAACGAAGATAATTATGTCCAAAATCTGTTTTTACACATATTTTATTCAGGAGTATCTTACAAAAAGATAAAAAAATACATTGATTGCATTTTATATCAAAAAGTATGGCAAACAAGAAAAATATAAAATTATATCTTTATCCATTTTGTGAACAATGCTTATGATGTAGAAATGCATATTATAGTTAACAGTTTCTCCTGTTATTTTTTACAAGGTTATCTATAAATAAAAGTACGCAGCGTTAAATATGTACGTCCAGCTGATATGAACTTGGAATATTCATATGCAGAAAGAAATACAGGTTATTTTCAATATAATCTTCACATGAAATTCAAACCAAATTCTAATACAGTAAATATAGGCAAATACTAATTTTAAAAATATAAATGTCCATAGTATAATATATGTAAAAGGGTGAAATATGGTTTTGAACAGTATTTTACATTCCTTTCTAGTTACTCGGTGGTATTTTTGTTAAGAAATGAGTAAATGGACGACCATGGACACAGCTGTTATGTTGGGTTCCAAGTTGCTTCCTCATTCTGTTTATGGTATTCTGTACATCTTCTTCTGATAAATATAAAGGCAGTTTTCGAGATAATCTGACTGCTTCTCCCTGTGGAATGAAGAATATGTATACTAAGTGATGGTCACAATGTATTTCCAATACATTCTTATAGTACAGAGAAATTTGGCAAGTGGTGATCTTCTATTACACTATTATCTTTCTTTGCCTAATTACACACAGGGACAAGACAAATTTTCACAAATAAATACAATCAAATTGACTCTCTCCTAACTCCAAACACAAATCCAAGAAATGAGACTCTGCTTTGTGTTTCTTACATTGCCTCTATTGTAGAAGCTATAAGTTTTAAAATACAGTTATATTATTTATATAGTTATATTTAGTTATATTATTAAAAATATGCATCTCATATAACAGCAAATTAATGCTAGATAATAAAAGAAATATTCCAATTATTTCAATTTAATTACTGCTTTTACTATAATTGTGTTACCCCACAGGGAGCAATATCTTATAGTTAAGCATTAAGATGTGGAACAATCTTTTGAGAATACAACATTCTTACCTCCAAATAGTTTACCACTTTAAGAGGTCTGCATTCATAGACTTCTTGTGCATTATTATTTATCACAGCACTTAGAATTTCCTTCAAATCTGATATACCATAATATGGCAGACAGCTGGTCATTCCTTCTATTTCCAGCTCACTTTCCACAGCTGAAGTACCTTACAGTAAAACAAATATATGATACATGGAATAACTGGATATAGTTTACATATTATTCTGATTTGTATATTAAAATAGGTATACTGCCAGGCAATGCCCTTAACAGCAGTCCTAAACATGTGATTATGCTACAAACACACTTAAATTTGCACAATACCTTAGAACAAGACAAAGCAATTTTTCTTTAACTAGTTTTAAAGTAAAGTTTTGCAAAACTTAAGCATCTTGTCTGTCTCCACATGCATGTATTGCTATGATGATTTTAAATTTCTTGTTATTGTAAATTTTAGCAGAAATTGAAAAGGCTTAAATTTGTTAATAAAACACGATTTAAAATTCAAAGATTAAATCACTTGTTAAATGATTCTCAGGCGGTGCTATGGTGATCTTAAAGAAAGAAGGCAATATGCAGCACACTTTCATCACAAATATAACAAATTCTTAGTAATTTATCACCTCTTAAAATACAAGAAATTATCTTCATTTCAGTTTCCTTTGTATGTCCAGTGTAACATCCTTTTCCATGTAATTCTTATAGACTATCATTTTAAAATCTAATTTCAAATAAAATCTCCTGTTGTATTATGTAAAAAAAATATACTAAGGACTAAAGTAAGAAACCAAGATAGATACCTGGTATTATCCTTATCTTAAATCCATTTGCTACAAGCCTGGGATCCAACAAATAAGATGATCCATCAAATCTTGCACTTTCTCTAGACATACTGCAAAGCACTTCCATATAATGAGTGTCACTAAAAAGGCTACAAAAAAAAATTACATAAGATAGCATTCTTAAAAAAGAATTTTCCAAAGGGGTAGTATGTGTTAAGGATTGTATCACATTGTTTTTTATTTTTACAAATATTTGCAGTTAGCTTATATTCTTTGAATGAAATGTTACAAAAAGTCTATTACAGGCAGTCCTCAACTTACAGCCAATTGTTTAACAAAATTATGACAGTACTAAAACAACGGATTTATGACTAATTGTTGCACTTAACAATCCTCAGTGTTCCGCATAATCATATATTAAAATTCAGGTACTTGGCAACTGGCATGTATTTATGACAGTTGAAGTGTCCCTGGGTCATATGATCACCATTTGCAATCTACTCAAGGATTCAAACAACCAAAGTCAATGAGAGAAGCTTGATTTTTTTTTTAACCAATGTGTGATTCATTTAATGACTGTGACAAAAGGGCTGTAAAATCAGGTGCAATTCAACAACCACACAGCTAAGCAACCGAAGTTTCTATCCCAATTGTGGTCGTATGTTGAGGACTACCTTATAATGAAACCCCTATTTAGCAGATATCATTTAGCGGAGTACAGAAGCATTGAACACAATTTTACAATAATTACAACAATATCTAAAACCAGAGAAAGCAAAACAAGGAAAGAAACTAACCAATAGTTTGTTTAGAAGTCAAAAAGAGAAGGCTGCAAGCTGTAGGCAAGTCTCTTGATTAAAGAAAAATCAAAATTGTCAGCACTAGAGGCCACTGGGGCTGACCAGTTCTTCATGGTTTTATCAAACTCACAAAAAACTTAGCAGCTAAGACCTGGTAGGTTATATTAACCCAGATATGTAAAAGCTGTGGCTTTTTCAATGGCTTCAAGATGCTTGGTTGGAGAATCAGCTTACGGTAAGCCTTTCTTTCGTCTGACTGACAATGTAGGGACCCAGGATTTAGAGACTGAAAATGACTTGGCTATAATTTATCCTTGAGCCTCCAGCTAAAGTCCGTTCCTAGGAAGACATCTGTGAGCTTGGGAATCTGTACTTCCTAACTTGTTTGATAAAGGCCTGACAGTGGGAGGCTATATTAATAAGAAGGCTTTCACCCAAACATAGCAAATACAGAATGATATTGGAAGATGAAAGTTTGCTACCTCAATTTAGGCTTATATGGAAAGTGAGATTCAAGAAAATTCAGGCAATTTCTGTTGACTCCAACAAAATCATACTAAACGAAGAGAACAAAAAAAAAATTGCATATAAAAGGTAAAACTACAAATGAAAGAACAAATCTAAACAAACTCTGGGAATGTCACATTTTTGCTAGTGCAGACGATGAAAGGATTGAAGTCGTGCCCTTTCAGCTTGGCACCGAGGAAAGGCTTCAGTCAAAAGATTTTTCTATCACTTGCTGAATGTGATTTATAGAGACCCCCAATAAAAGAACACGTACTCCCATCTCATACTACAACTATCTCACAGAACATGATCTGTTAGCGAACAAAGATAGGTCTTCTCCCTGACTTGGCACTACTAGTCAGCATTAGACCTTGGGTTAAGTCAGGGGAATGCATCCAGGGCCTTTTTAATCCTGTTGTTGCTGCCAAAGGTTGGCATAATAGTACATGCTAGTGGTGTCAGCCTCTCTGAAGACTTGAAGTATTTTCCTTAGGGTGAATGAAGTCTTCTAAGAATCAATGGAACAATCTACAGTGTAAAATGTGACTTTTGCAAAGGTATACTTAGCTACTGAGGTGGGAATCACAAGTGCTACAACAGTAGATTGAAATAAATATAACGAAATGGTGGGTTTATTACATCTTGCAGTTAACCTCACAATCCTTGATGTTTAGTGAGTTGCCTTCCCGTCCTCTGGCACTTTTGAATCTGCCTCAAATAGAGCTACTCCCCAAAAAATCCAAGGATGAGAAAGTATTCGCTTGTGAAAATGTGCTGGATCCAAAGGTCAGGGGGATGTTGTGCTACAACAGCTAAATGAAACTGCCAGAAAATCCTGACAGAGATTCTTTTTAGGAGAGCAACTCCATGTTCCATGGTGCCGAATGAACCATTTGTGACCTTCTGACATTTAAATCTGACAAACAAAGTCAATGGGGAAGCCAGATTTACTTAACAACCATGATACTATCTTAACAACTGCAATGATTCACTTTGCCACAACCGTGGTAAAAAAGGTGTCAAGTTTCCTAACGATGCCGTAAAGGTTGTAAAATGGGGCAAAACTCACTTAACAAACGTCTCACCTAGCAACATAAACTTTGGGCTCAATTCTGATCATAAGTCGAGAACTACCTGTAATGGGGCTCTGTTCCTGTCCTAACTACAGATAGTAACACCATACACAATGCTGCTTAAAAAATTGTGAATTCTTTTGAATTTTCTAAAAGATTTTAAGACTAGAGACCCCAATTAATCCAAAGCTACATAATTGTGTGTGTGGCAAAAGCATTTCAATCTTTAGGATTATCAGTGCAATTGAAGGGGAGATTAGAATCAGACTTTCCAATCAATGAAATGATAATTAAGTTTATGTTTAGAAGGTCCTTAAATTCCCTATCAAGGTCTGATCTTTACAATGCAAGGATGTAGATATGTCATGGCTTGAACAAACATTCCAGAGGATGACCAAAAAATATTGTGGTTTCTAAACTTTTCATGCCATTCATCTTTTTGGGGGGGAGAATTGCTTTAAGCATTTTAGAGAAGCAACAGAATCATTTGAAATCTAACAACAAATAAATGTAATGGCATGAAAATAGCTCATGTATGTAGCCCTGTTTCATTTCTACTGTTAAGGGTAATTAATCTAAAATCTTATGAAAATCAAACCATCCAGTTTATCTAGAATCCTAATCAGTATTTAAATAAGATATGCATTTCCCAAACTGCCATATAAATATAATAAAAAAATTTTAAATACAAACTTCTAATATTAAATGCCTTATAAGGACTGTTATTGTACTAACTATTCATGACTGTTCTATACACCTAACTTTTTTGAATTTTATAATCCAAAATACATTACATTACTAAATGGTTCTATTTTGGCTTGTTTACTTATTTCATTTTATCATGAATACAAATTTAGAAAATAAAAATACAAATGAAAAACCTATGCTTTCCTGTTTGCTTAAGATAGACATACTTCTAGAATGTCATTTTCACCTTACCTCTCAGTTAATGTAATAGGAGTGTCCAATTTCTCTATAGGAAGCTTATGATTTTCAATTAGCTTTTTGAAGAGAAGAGCTTCTTCTATTCTGTAAGGATTTAGCATCTCTATTTTTTCCTCAGAGGCAAGTATCCATGCATCAGGAAAATTCGGAAGGCGAATTAAGCAAGATTCCTCTTGATCTGCCTTTTTATGTTCAAGCCTTTGAAGCTTTTGTTTGAATGCATCCATGGAGAAAGGCAGTTGTACAGTTTTTATTGCTCGGTAATCATCATGCTTCTTTCTTACTTGCGAGTTAAAAAGTGTGTCCAATTTTTGCTGATTATTTAAACAGTCTTTTAGTTTGATCTTGTGTCTTTTTTCTCTCTCCTTCACTGATGTTTGTACATTCTGACACGTAGCTTTTCTGCTTTGCCTGTTGTATCGTTCCAGATCTTTTTCAGCTTTTTCCTCATATCTTTCACAAGAAAGAACAGAATATATGATTGTGTTAGAACAAAATATAACAAATACATAATGTGTTGTTTTTCATTATGAAAAACAGTTTTCCTGCTTCGTTTTAATAGCTTTAGGTCTCACTGAGTCATTGTATTTTCAATAACAATATCTTTTTAATACAAATATGGAGACTATATTATAGCTACAGTTCAATTATTTGGATTCATTTATTTCTGTCAAAAATAAAAAAAATATGTATCAGCATTGCGTTCAGGAATAATGGATTTAGCCAACATTTCCCACAAGGAGTGAAGAGAACCAAAAACAAAATGGATCCCTCCTCCTCCATATACAGAAAACTGTTGTACTCCTCGACTTTCAACAGTTTATTTAGTGACTTTCAAAGTTACAATGACACTGAAAAATGAGACTTGTGACCATTTTTTAAAGTTATGGCCTTCGTAACAGCCCCGTGATTATATGATCAAAATTCAAATGCTTGGCAACTGGTTCATATTTATGACGGTTGCGGTTGTCATGTAATCATCTTTTGCAACCTTCTGACAAGCAAACTCAGTGGGGAAGCCACATCCACTTAACAACCAGGTTATTGACATAAACTGCAGTGATTCACTTAACAACTGTGGCAAGAAGGGTCATAANAACATTAGTTAATGCGTTGACTTCTGCAAAAGGGGCGTGTGCACAAGCATTCCTTTTATAGTCTGGAGAGGAGCCTAATGACCACCAGCTGAGTGTAATTACCTACTGTAACTGTATAATTGTTCCTTACGCGTATTAGCTCTCCGGTGCTGGGCATCCAGGAACAACTCACTGCTGATGTCCGGATCACACTCCCTTGTCTTCTCCCCACTGGTCCAAGGCTCAGGTGCCTCCTGGTGGCCAACCAGCCTCTCTGCGCCCTGCTCGGAGTCAGAACGCTGTCCTCCACATCTTCCAAAGCCAACTCATAGGGCCCCTCGCTGTCGGAGTCTGGTGGTAGCTCCAACGGCTCCTGCTGGGCCACAACATATAGGGATAGTGGTTCTTAAACGGTTTGAACCAGTTATAGATAAGTCTTCAGCTTACAGCTACAACTGAGCCCAAAATTAATGTGGCTAAGTGAGACAGTTGTTAAACACGCTTTGCCCCACTTTACGACTTTGCTTGCCACCGTTGCCACCGTGAATCACTGCACCTGTTAAGTTAGAAACCCTGTTAAGTGAATCTGGCTTCCCTACTGACTTTGCTTGTCATAAGTTGCAAAAGGCGATCACATGACCCCAGGGCACTATAACTGTCATAATAAATGAGTCAGTTGCCAAGCATTTGAATTTTGATCATGTGATTGTGGGGATGCTTAAGTGTGGAAAATGGTCCTAATTTTTTTTTCCAGTGCCATTGTAAATTTGTACTCCTTTTCCTATCTCCAACACTGGGATGTTTCTCCTAAGGAAAAAAAAAAACTCCTCGGTGTTTATCTTATTTCTTTATTCATTTGTTTACACAAGCGCCTCAGCAGGAGGCAACAATCCCAAACAGGATCCTCAATTCAGAAACAAGCAATTTCAAACTGCTCCATCGACCCTTTAGGGTTGCTACATCCAGTTTAAACACTACTGTGACTGGAGTCAACCTTCAGAAATCATTCCTCTGCAGCATAAAAAGAAACTAACCTGCATTCACAGACTATGTTAGCCCAAAACTCATGGGGCAAAAACCTAACCACAAATTAACCACCCAAGCCGAGTTTACACATGTAATTGGCTTAGCTATACTGTCTGCTTCGAGAGAGTCTGATACTGACTCCTGGAATATTTGGCAGTTTTAAAATGTGTTTTCTTCAGCGCTCATTCAACCCTAGACCTGGATTATTAAGGGTCTTTAATTGAAACAATAGCTACTTTCTCTGGCCTGACCAAACCCCATCCCACTCCTTTAATCTTGGGAGACTTCAAAACTCCCACCACACCTTATTTTAGCGTTTTGCCCCTAGCTTTCTGTCAAGACTTCAATCTGCAAAATAAAAAATAATAAAGGTGGAAATTAATTTGGGAGATCTTCCCTCCCAGATCTGAGGTAAACTTATTTTATTCCATCCTGACAGTTACTACTTCAAGGCTGGTAAACTATCTCTTGGCTACTAATGTGTCTGGTCTAGGTCAAATGCAATTAGTTCAGAGGTGAGTTCCTACCAGTTTGCACCTATTCGATAGAACCGGTTCGTCAAATCTACCAGACCGGTTAGAAGAGGTTCCACCAGTGGACCCGGAAAGCAGGCCACACCTACAGAAGAGGTTCCAAAATTTTTTGAAACCCACCACTGCTAAAGGGTTAGAAGTGGAGAGATCTTGTAACTTGACAGCTTTAAGACTTGCATACTTCAATGCCAGAGTTCCTGAGCCAACGTGACTGGAGGAGGAATTCTGGGAGTTGAAGTCCACAAGTCTTAAAGCTGTCAAGTTACAAGACCCCTACACCCCTAACCCTTTAGGGGAAAAACCCCGAGGTGTGTTCAAACTTGACAGCTTTAAGACTT